TCATTACGACTCAAGCTAGGCAATAGATGTAGTTTGCAAGAAGATATATAATGTACTTCACTATAGCAAAGGTTTTTCCCACTTTTGATGACGATTTGACCCGAAAATGGGTAATTTCTTTATAAAGGCTCGTACTGTCTGCTATAGATGGGCTCTTGCCCTATTTTTTATGCAAACTCATAGATTATTATCTATCATTACCATTATTCACCCCAACGGTTTCTAAATGACGTTATCGATTACGTACCCTCTGCTACACTGCATTAAGATATCTCCCCCATTTTCTGCGGAAATCCCTTGATTGAATTGTTATCTAACTTTTTCTGATAGAGTGAATACATCCATCACAGCAATTTTATAATAAAATGGTGAGAAATGTGTTAGTCAATACTTTACTGGGGTGAATCAGTTTTGTTTCGCATATCTCCATTGATTTCTATGGAATGTTACAAGATTCGTACTCTCCATATTTACTGACAATTCCGTCTGTTATTATATGATTAGGAATTCACCGAGTACTCCGTTTGTACCCGGTACTCGGCATACTCGGCTCATTTCACAGAGTACCCGGTTTTGCCGAGTATTAAATTACTTGGTTTTAACTTAAGACATACAACTTGCGTAAATGAAACAGATGCACATGCGATGTGCTAAGTCTGAACTCATATGCACAATCACAAAAAATGAGTAAGGTCACTACATTTTTGCCAGTATGAAATGTCTGATTTGTATGATTTTTTAGTGAATGTCTATCGTCGTCTCCTTGCGTTATTTTTTATATACAAGGAGCTACTAATCATGTTTTTTCATAAAAAATACGATAAGCCCCTACTGTAGCTAGCTAAACTGAAACATAATTGCAGTCATTGTTGTGTTTTTTGCACTTTATTTACTCTTACATGTTTCACATGAACTCTCAAAAAAGCACAAAAAAAATAAAATAGTGCAACACAAAGTATCCCCCGATTCTGCGGAGAAACTCTTTATTCATATATAAGGATGATTTAGATCTAGTTTTTCCTAAATCTGATTTGGTCCGGCCACGAAATCGAGAAGTTTAGATTTGTGCCTCTTTTGAAACCTCTTCACTAAAGCAACTCAAAAACCACCAAGGTTTAGTTCAAAAACGAAGGTTAAACAGTACGTTTTGAATATCTTGCAAATGGTCTTCTCTTGTAATCGGAGGCATAACTTCTTGGAAAAGTAAATGAATTATAATAAAGGAACCTCTTAAAACGCAAAGTAGTTGAAGTAACCTAGAGCAAGTCACTCATGCCAGTACCCGACCGAATACTTATGAAGAAGTGCCCATTATAAAAGTGTTCAAAACTTTGTTAATCCGAATATTGAACTGCCGAAAGTTAGTAGAGCTGGGAAAAGGCTTCTCGGGTAGATTGTTCCACAAACTCGATACCCTAGGGAAAAAGGAGCGGTCATATCGGCCAGTTCAGGATATACGAAGTTCGACACGGTTGGGATGGGAGGTGAAAGTCAGGCGGGTCTTTCTAGCAGGCACAACGCGAGGCGGCATCAGCCCGTTGGTGCAGCGATAGAAGAGAGCTTAATCCCGTCGCTGTGAAAGGATCCCGAGACCGTTCATTAGAGACGAGTCATAATCAGTATTAGGGAGGAGGTGATGTGGAGAAAAGTACTTCTTCGCCCTGAACAAATAGGGTACTTTTTTCTCAGCAGCTGCTGCTATTGACGAGATGTGTTTGTCAGATCAAGTCCTCGGTGATCTGGACTCCGACCAGCAGAAATGAATGGGGTTTTGGTAGAACTCGGCCACCCATCGAAACTAGATGAGCGCTAGGGTGCTTCTTGTTAGTCAAGAATTATGTTTTGGAAGCATTAAACTGTACCAGATTGTTCCCAAGCAGTGATAACCTCCAAGTATCTCGTCAGAGAGCAGGTCGCTGCTAGTATTTGGACTGGATATCAAGAGTTTATCTCCAAGTACGGATAGTACATTTACACATTTGAAGAACACCCTGTACGTTAAGTGGTAAGGGTAAAAACGAAACAATAGAGGGTTGCGAGCTGCAAAATAAAGGTCTTTGTTATTTTCCCAACTAATATTCGTTGACAAAATGAGGTGATATTTTGCATACTCAACTATTCGTGCCGCACTAATGTGATATAGTTGAGCCGGTAAGATCGATTAGCATACACTATGTTCCTTAGGCTTTGAGATTACGAAACTGATTTATCACTTTATCAAAGCGAGAGCAAAAATGAGCACGAGCGGTTCTCCCCATCTTTGGGAAAATTGGGCCAAGTGGCACAAGCACAAGGACTGAATAGAGTAGAAAATGATTTATTTAGTGGTAAGCTACTTCATACAATAATAAATAACATTTACAAAAAGTGTTTCAAAAGTGGTTGTCACGTCAAACCAAAAAAGTCTCCCTAAAGTTTAGATGGTTTTATGTACAATAATACAATCTATAAAAAGAACAAGAGCATGCGGATAAAGGTATATAACAAATAGAAAAATAATGGGCAAATTCCGAAAGTGAATTCGAGCAGAAAATATGATAGGTAACGCGAGCGATACGTATTTCTGCTTGTTGGCTTCATCAGGCCCGAAATGAATGCACATATGCAACTACAAAAGTAGATACAGATGCCCATACACCCAGAGACGGGTGTAACCTAAGGAAACGAAGATGGAGAGGAAAAGAAGTCACAAAGAAGAGCTAACCTACACATTTAGTGTAAAATGGCTAGAAGACCTCGAATTTTCAAGGCGACATCTATTCACAACCACGCGGCCGGTTATAGCCACTTGCTGAGATACTTCAAGCCCAAAGGATTGTCTTTTTTAAACCTTTAGATTTGAATCTTTGTATGCGAAAGTTTTATTTTGATCTAATGTCACAACCTTGCATTTAAAATCTTTCTGTAGATGGAGCCTGATTATTGATAGTTTTGTATAAAGAAATTAAATTTGCCTCTTAATGATTTGGTGTACGTTTACAAAATTGTCTTTAGCATATCCTGCATAGGGATATACCTACCACAAGTTATCAAAATTCGCATACATTTATTTAATAGAATCTGTAACCTTTGTTTTTTCTCATTTTTGCATGTTGTCAGAATAATTATTGTATTGTAGACTAACCCTTCTGCTCCAGGGACTTCGATTTTCACAAATTCTACCAAAATACCCGATTTTTTTTTCTAATTTGCTACACATATAATCAATATGTCGTTAGTTGGTTATTAATCTGTACATACCCAAATATTTAAAACTATCTTTAAAATCAAGTAACTCTTCTTCAATTTTCATTGACAAATTTAAATCGAGTAGTTTCTTGCAATTATTTTTCTAACCTATGAAGACACATTTCATTTTTTTTCATTTAGCTTAATCTTATTTGTTTTTAATCATGAAGTAAGTTTCTCCATTTCACTATTCATTGCATCAACAATTTCGTTACTAACTGTACCACTAACTGAAATTAATGTATCGTCCACAAACAAATTTACAAAACGATTAATGAAGGCAGATCGAAGCTCCTAGTTTCGCCTTGGTTAAGCTTGCTTCAATTTTATTTAATAGAGAGTCCGTCGTGCGCGAATAGGTGAGAAATCTGCGACCGCCATCTACAAATGGTTTTCCAAAGCTGAATTCATCCTCAATCCCGTTTGTCTATATACCGTACTGATGCGTGCTAAAGAGCACGAAATATCGGTTGGACATGCTTACATATTGAGTTGAGCTAGAGAGTATTTCACGGAATAATGTTTGCTTTAACCGTGCACATAGTAATCCTGATGGAAGATAAAAGGTGCATTATCCATAAAGGAAATACGCTCTCTACGATATGGTGTTCTTATTGAATTAGGCATATTCTTTCTGAAAATGACTAGTAACTTCGTAAATTAAAGTCGAGGATAGCGCGAGGTGGTGCTGTTACGCTTTATTGCTAGCAATACCATCACCTTGAACCCTTCTTATTTACGAATGCTGAGCCTGAGGCTGAGAGCCCTCAGCACTTATTATAGGGCTCGCCTCCTTTAGAGCACGATGTTGGGCCAGCAATATTGCTTGCTCTGGAATTTAGATCTGTTCCACTGGAATGTGTGAACTACCTATAATTGCATCACTCTATAAGGGCTCGGGAATTTCTTATAAGAAGTTCGGTTTTACGAGGTGAAGACGTTCGATACTGGAAAGCCGGAAGGTGGAAAACTGCCAGAAACGAATGTGTGTTAGTAACGTGTATTTTATCACAGTACTAGCTGACCCCGCAGACGTTGTCCTATCTTAGCTATGAAGTGGGATGAATAATAAATAATAAAAGGGTAAATATATGGAATATAGGTAATTGTATAGCGAGGTGTTTGTACCGCCATGTGGCTAGCAAAATACGTTGGCAACACTGTCATTCCCCCATCAACGTACCTTGAATTGTTTGTGCCAAATCACGACATTTGAAAGCAATTCTTGTATTGCTGGATATGAGTCAAAAAATGTATAGATCTGACCCAGTTCTGGAAATCAATGAACGTAGTGACTCTGGTGGTGGCACCAATGGAGTCATTTTGATCTTTCCACTGACGCAGCATAATTCAGGGGCTTCATTTTCAAACTTGACTTGCAGCATTGCGAGTGCTGCGACCTAGGTTGGTACGTCTAATTGGTGGTATTTTGAAGAATCACAATTTTAATATGAGGCGGTGAACTAACTTCCACCCTTGTTAATTATTTTTGAACAAATATTTCTACAAAAACTCACTGAACAAACTAAAAACTGGATGAAAGCTCTAATCGAATGGACTGCGCACTACTAATTAAATAAAACAATATTTTTTCATTGATAAACATTGTTAAACGATAATATAAATTTGCGGCATGCGAGCTATCAAGCAAGATTCAATACTGACGTTCGATCCGCGCGGCCTACTATGTTTCTATATGCAAAACTTAAAAGGCATCCCTCGTACATTTGTTTTGTTAATATTAAGGGTAAAAAAAGAAGTTGAAGGAATACCTGACACTTGTGGGGTGCTGTTCAGCGACTCGTAGCCATCGTCCAATATAGAAGTAGGAGTCGATTGGATGTTTTTCTGCCTCTTCGTATCGTCTGTCTGGATTTCTTGGCTGCCAGCTGTCTCTTCATTCAATGCTTTTATAGTTTCGTTGCTACCGAAGTCTTGATTTGCTTCAGTTTCAGCGTGTTCTGTATCTCTACCACCCTCCGCCTACAATAACAAAATCTGCTTCCATTATGGCCTAGGAGCAATTTTACTTAAAAAAAATCGCAGTCTTGTAGCAAAAGGTGGATCAATCTTACCTTTCTGTTATTTTTCTGGTCTCTCTCCTCGAGTTCAACTTCATTATAGTTACGTCCGCATGTCTTCAATTTAGCGACTCTACTCTTTTTTAAAAATATATTCGATAGTTCGAAGTGTCTGTATTTTCTTTTACTTTGATCTGGTTTTCCAAAATTTTCTAGAGTGGTTGATTTGCTCATAGTGCTTTGCAATGTGTTAATTTTACATGGAGACGAATTGTCTTTCTTTTTCGGTGAGTTTTTTAGAGGGAATTTGCGTATATGCGTAGCCATCCGGGGGTTATATAAAATGTTTCAATTCATCGTTCTGGATATTCACAATTTCACCTTGGCCATACCATCTTTCTATTTTAACTACAAATGCTTAGTGTACAATCCTGAATGAATTTAACACGTCAACAATAATATCTTCAACTTCTCGTTTATACCACCAGGTTATCTCTAGACAATTTGAAAGTAACTGGTATATTTGCACGCCCATATTCCATTGCAATGATGGTGATCTGTAATAAGAAATAGAGATGATACAATGTCAATGTAATACCAGTCCAATAGTGGTTCCTCTACTTTTCATGATAAAGCGTTAATTGTATAAAAAATGGCGTCAAGTAGGTTGACTCTGCACTCACTACACAATGCCGTCTCAGTTCATAAAGGATAACGTTCAGCACAAGTTAAGTCTTCTGAGGAAAAATCAGTACAACAAGGATATTAGAAGGATCAAGTCAGTCATGTAAGCGCATACATTTAGTCCATACACATTCTTTTCCTTTAGTACCGGAAGTTTCCGCTGATCTGGCAACGTTGCCCCTTGCCCACTGCGATACCATTGCAGTACGAGCAGAACAGTCGACTATACCTGTACGCCAATATATCAAAAAATTGAGATATGCCCTCCGCCACCTGTTACAACCCCCAACCTCCAATTTTTAATATCTACAAAAATGTGAAAATGATCAGGAGGCTCCGAAACGTCTCACTTTAAGCCAATTTTTTGTATTTGTACCAGTAGCTCCTCCACCACTAAAAAAATCCATTACGTCCTTGGCTTAGCAGTGATCTTGTATGGAAATCCCAGAGGTACTTCTTAAGTTATAGACGGGGCAAGGATTAGCGGACAGACAGACAGACCGACTAAAATGAGAGATCTACATGTCGTATAACATCCAAAAAACATAATATCTCACGAACCCGATAAACTTCTCAGTCATATCAGTAACATGCATAACAACATCAAACTCACCATGGAGCTAGAGGACAACGGCCAAGTGGCTTTCTTGGTCGTATTACTAAGCCGCCAAGAGAGACGACTGGGCATACGGTATACAGGGTGTTTCAGTTTATTGTTGCATAACTTTAAGATTCGATAGAACTTTTAAAATTAATGCATAAAGTCTATATAAACATGGGTCGAAAAATGCGTGGCTTCCGAATTACAGGGTGTTTAAAGTTACTTTCTAAAATAGTTTTTTTTAAATATTTCGGACAATATTTGATGTATAATAGTGAAAATTGGTATACAAGGGTTTTTTGGTACGAAATTAAAAGCAGAATAAGGTTAAACGTCAATTAGTTGACAGTTAGTTTTGTGGTCTGTTGAAATCTGAAACGTTTTTTGCAATTGTGAATGCACGAAATTTAGTTTCATTTATCTGTTTTTGTAAGTTTTATAAAAATGCCATTTTTATTCTCCAATCAAGAGTTGGATATTCATTTTGTGTATGGCTTTGTAAATGGAAACGCAGCAGAAGCAGCCAGAGAATACGCACGAAGATTTCCAAACAGACGACATCCAACTCGCTCAGTATTTGTAAGAGTGCATCGCCAAATAATTGAAAATGGTTTTGGAAATCTCCACAGGGATCAAAACATAAATGTTCGTCAGCGCAGATTTACCCGTATGATTCTGCGTGAGTTTGATAGAGATCCGACCACAAGTGTTAGAAGAGTTTCTGGTGCCTTGGGAATTTCAGCAAGCCATGTTCACCGTGTTCTTAGAAATGACCATAGCCGTCCTTACCATTTGCAACCTGTGCAAGGACTACAGCCAGGGGACGGAGAACGAAGGATCACATTTTGTCAGTGGATTCTTGATAGAACTGATAATAATAGGGAGTTTTTAAGTAACGTTTTATGGACCGATGAGTCATGCTTCACTAGACGTGGAGTGGTAAATTTTCATAATCAACATATTTGGTCGCATGAAAATCCGCATGCAGTTCGGGAAAGAAATTTTCAGCATGAATTTAGTGTGAACGTGTGGATTGGTATCTACCGTAATCGACTATTAGGACCCTACCTTTTTCCTGCAAGGTTAAATGCTGCGACCTTCTTGGAATTTTTAAAGGCTGAACATGCAAATGTGTGGGATGATGTTATGTTAGATTTAAGAAGATTGGCCTGGTTCCAGCTTGATGGTTGTCTAGCTCATTATTCGAGAATAGTTGGAAACTGGCTGGACGAAAATTATCCAGAAAGATGGATCGGCCGTGGAGGACCAGCCGCCTGGCCTCCACGATCCCCTGACCTAAATCCATTAGATTTCTTTGTGTGGGGATTTCTAAAAGAAAAAGTGTACCAGACTCCCGTAACCACAAGAGATATGCTAATAGACAGAATCAGGAATGCATGTGATGAAATAAGGCCTTATTTGAATAATGCTATACCACGTTCGATCATTCGTAGATGTGAATTGTGTATTGAACAATTGGGTTTACATTTCGAGCAACTACTTTAGATTTTGTATGTTTTTTTCTAACTATCCAATGGCATTTTAGTTGTAAATAATTAATTTAATTTGTTAAAAATAATATTGGAAAATTAAACAAATTAATATTCTGTTTTTTGTGTTTATTTGGAGTTAGGAATTATTGCTGTGTTTAAAAACACAATCTAAGCGATCATCTTAATTACTTGTAATGCCCAAATCGAAAATGTAAAAAATATATTATTTTCCCATAAATAATTAAAAATGCATCGAACCTTAAAAATCGAAATATCTCAAAAACGGCTAACTATAACGAAAACTCACAGGAGAGCTTTTTTATGTTGAAAAGTGCGAAGAATCAGTTTCTTTATTCAAAAAGCAAAAAATTGCACTAAGAAAAAATTTTCCGTCATTTCAATACACAGTAGAGAGCGCCCTCTAGCGGCTACAGTAAAACTATGCCCATGTTTCGTTTTGTCGTACCAAAAAACCCTTGTATACCAATTTTCACTATTATACATCAAATACTGTTCGAAATATTTAAAAAAAACGATTTTAGAAAGTAAATTCAAACACCCTGTATTTCGGAAGCCACGCATTTTCCGACCCATGTTTATATAGACTTTACGCATTAATTTTAAAAGTTCTATCGAATCTTAAAGTTATGCAACAATAAACTGAAACACCCTGTATAGAAAACAAACGCACACAGACCGGTATCTGCATAGGAACTCCAATCACCACCCCTGTCAGAAATTTGGCATCATTAAAACACTAACTGAAAGAGGCAGGAGAATATGTGAACCCGAAGAACTGGATTTAGGACATAAATACCTAAAAAACAGCTTAATGGCCAATGGATACTCAAAGCTGGAAATTAGAACATCCATGATATCAGGTAATGCCAGAGCCAAAGAATACAACTAACCAGTGGCCAAAGCATTTCTGCCATATATTCCCAGAGTCACAGAGAGAATTGGACGTGTACTTCTCAAGGAGAACGTCAAAACAATACCAACGACCAACGACAAAAATAAGTGAAAGTCTGAGATCGGCTTTGGGAGTCTATCGCATACCTTGTACTTGTGGAGTGTGTACATCAGAACAACAAAACGATCAGTGAATACCAGAATTAAAGAACACAAAGCGAACTGCCGTCTGGGTCAAATAGAAAAATCTGCTGTAGCCGAACATACACTCACCAAAACGAACCACCGCATTAAATTTGAGCCCAGGTTATTGCTAACACACCAGCATATCATGCTAGATTATACAGGGAGGCTATATGGGCACACAAACACGTGGACAACTTTAACAAAGCAGAGGAATCACTGAACGTATACAAAACCTGGCTACCAGTATTCAAAAACACAAAAAATGGCAAAACAACCCGAGCGCGACGTCAGCCGAGGATTCCCGAAGAGCTCTCCCCACCACTTGAGCCGCCACATATAAATATGAGCTAAGACCGCGGAGATGTCAGTAGCTCACAAGACTACGAACTATGAAGATGCCAACCACTCGTACCCAAAAACCAACCAAACAACATAATATCTCATTTACGAATTTTTTGACGTTACTATACTAGTGGCGTAGCAAGTAATGTATGTGCTGAATGTTTTGGCACAACAATCATTGGCTTTAAATACAACAAACATAAAATAATATTAAGTTGCCTTGGAAACAAAAGTTTGCTTACTTTTGGTGAGACGAGCAAAAAATCAGGTTGGTATGTCAACAAGGAGACTGGCTCGTCAATACAGATCTTCTAACAGTACGATATCGTTGGAAGTGAGGAGACTTAAATATCAAAAGAGACTTAAGTGCCCCAAATACTCTCAAGCGCAACTCCTTCGTATACCAAGATGCTGTTGTCAATTGAGGCTGGTACACTTTGCCAATGGAAAAACGTTATTTTAGATGACGTAACATACTTCACTTTGAGTAATTCTGAAATGAAGTGAAAAGACGGATTTTATACGGACAACGTAGAGGAATGCCCTGACAATGTTAGATACAAACCCAGCGACATTTGTAGATAAAATCCTTGTCCGGTGCGCAATCTCTAACAGGGGGGTATCCCAACCTTTTGTGGGAATAGTGAGGGGTGAAGCACTGAATAGTGAGATATATACTGATAACTATCTTTCCAAATTGCTTCAGTTTGTCCACGAACATCATGATAATGACCATATAATGTTTTCGCCAAACCTAGCATCAAGCAATTACTCATTACCAACTACGATAGATATTTTGTGCCAAAACTTTTAGGACATACGTTAAGATCAAACATTGACAAATTGAGTCGTATCCGGAAAATTAGTATAAAAAAAAACGAAAACAATGAATTATCAGTTATTCTGTGGTCCCGGAGTACAATGTAACCCTTATTGATCGTGTAAAATATAGCAATATTCTCTTGGAGCTATTCTGTCCCTCACTATCTCAGTTCATTGTTATTATATAAATTATTGCCCTCACCATGTGAGGCCCTAAGAATTTTCTATACTCAACATTTGTTTGAATTATACAGGGTGTTCCTTAATGATATGCGAATATTTAAGGGTGTGAATCCACATGAAAAATTAATGTTAGTTTGCTTTATAAATATAAAAAATGGTACGAGAATGGTTTTTGGTCAAATAAAAATTATTTTTTGAAATAAAAACCGTTCTATTGTCCGAGAAAATTAATGTAATAATTGAAGAATGCAATTTAGCAATAAATATCTAGTTGCTCTGGCTTTTGACATCTGACAAGTCTCTGTTATTCAAATCTGTTCGCTGTGACATCTTTTTCATTATTCAGTTTTACAATGTTGTTAATAATGGTGAATTATTCAAATGCAGAAATGGCAGAAATGCATTGGGTATATGGCCTTGGGTAATGGGACGGTAATGGTGAGCAAGCCAGGCGGATTTATCACCAGAGATATCCCGATCGTGCTTTGCCAGGTTCTGTCCGAAAAGGAACATCGAAGGTAGACTTCCAAGTGTGGGAACACCTGAAATTGCGGAAGCGGTGCTGCACGAAGTCGACGAACATCCTGAAACGACTACGAGGAAGATCGCTAGACACTTAAATATTTGCCATCAAATTGTTTGGAGAATTTTGGTGGATTTTTTGTTATATCCTTACCATATTTTAAGAGTACAGGCATTACTTCCCATTGATTTTCCAACGCGTGTGACCTTTTGTCAGTGGTATCGTCAAAAAATTACACATAATCCGCAATTTGAGTCAATGATTCTGTTCACGGACGCAGCTAATTTTTCGAAATGCCATTCAGAATTTCCACAATAATCATTTGTGAGCAGAAGAAAATCCCTATGCCTTAACCGAAACCCATTTCCAGCACCAATTTTCGGTTAACGTATGGGCAGGAATTATTGGCAACCATTTTATTGGCCCATTCTTCTTGCCGGGACGACTTGACCAACAGACTTACCTCAATTTTCTTCAACAACAGTTGCCTTTGCTTCTTGATGAGGTTCCGTTAGTAATAAGAAACAATATGTGGTACATGCATGATGGTGCACCAGTACAAACTGTTTATCCAAATCGTTGGATTCGCCGCGGTGGGTCCCAGGAATGGCCACCAAGGTCCCCAGACCTCAACAGTTTAGATTTATTTTTGTGGGGCTATCTTAAGACACTAGTGTACACAAGTCCCATTGACACTGCAGAGGAATCAAGAGAAAGAATAGTTGCAGCTTGTGATAGAATAAAAAACACTCCAGGGATATTTCAACGAGTGCGCAATTCCATGAGATGCATACTAAGTGAAGCGGACCATTTTCAACAATTTTGACGATCATTTCGTTGATTTTAATGTTATTTTTATGTTGTCAGTTGTTGTTGTTCATTACCCGTAAAATGTGTCTAATTTTTCCAATTAAATTAATAATAATTTTGCAAGTTAGACAATAGAACGGCCTTTATTTTTTACTCAAATTAGGTGAATCGAAGGAAAACAATTCAAGAGTAATCATTTGAACTTAAATTCAATGGGGAATTCAAAAATAATTTTTATTTGGCAAAAAACCATTGGCGTATCATTTTTTTCTTAAAAAATATTGAAGTCAATACCCGTACGCACGCCACTGTTAAAGCTAAAAAATATTTTTGCATTGAAAAATATGCAACTTTATTATCTTTCACTACGTACTAAATATCAGTGAAATATCTGAAGCGGTTCTATCAATTAATTTCCATTTTTTTTCCTAAAACTTCAACACCCCGAGTTTTTGTAAGGAAACATTTTTGGATCATAGTTTATAAAGCAAACTAACATTAATTTTTCTTGTAGATTCAGACCCTTAAATATTCGCATATCATTAAGGAATACCCTGTATATTGTAATTCAGAAGTTTTTTAGTCGCGTGTTTCAGAGGTCTTGTATCTTCGTGAGGGTACCTTAAAACATTTTCCATATAAACTTGTCAGATTATTCTGGAATATATTTAAAGGTCGAATTCGATCATTTATCAAATTATGGCTTAATAGTATTTTCTCTAACAGGAAGTGAATTGAAATTAGGCATTAAAAATGAGGTAAGAGGTACGTAGAAATTCTCAGAAATGCAGAGAGATGATGAAACTCACAGAAAACAGGGAATGGTCGAGCCCAATATTTACTCGCGAAGTATTCATCCCAGGCTTTCATTCCCGTCCTCATTAATTAATGAAAAACCGATATGATTACGTAATTTAGTGGATTATATCTTTGTGCACTGGTACGCTTACTGACGATAGTCGTATTGTTATGGTGTGATGATAATGGATTAATCAGAATATTATCGATAAGCCTCACTGGTGACGTGAGAATATACCGGGTGATACGGTAGCGTTGGACATGCTCATATTTGTGTCGTTTATCGTAAGATTGTCTTACTGTTAATTATAACCCTAAAACTTTATCAGATTCTATGCAGCGCTTACCGAGATTTTGTATTGCAAACAAGATAGGGCAGAATTTGAGCATTTGAGCAAAAATACTATTCAAATGAAATTTTGTTACCTTCCAATACCTTGAACACCTGAAATCATGTCATGAACTGTGGAGAAATCATAAGGACTTGCCAGTTGATAGAAAGCCATTGTCCAAAATTAACCACATTGTCACTACTATCACAATTTTACCGACTGCGTTCACGAAATTGAAATGAAAACTATACTACGCATAAAAAATAACGAACAATTTTGGTGGATAATGTATAGCTGGTTATCACTAATTTTATTTGTAAATTAGCTAGGAACTAACAATAATTTACAATTCTCCAGGGTAATTAAACATCGTTAATTCCTTAATGAAAATATATATCGGAATGTAACCGAAAATATTTTATAAGCATATGCTGGCCATACACACACACGTTCTTTCGCGCGGAAAATCATGGCGCGTGGAACGTGGGGCGAAAAAGACCGTTTTTGTCATTACATGATAAAGTCCATTCCAAATGACGATCGTTGGCCATACATATACACGATCTTGTCTCATATCGTCTGGAAACATTCTATATGACTCCTGGGCGAATTTAGTTTGACCACTAATATCTATGACTTTCGAATCTCTTTGACTAATATGGTGAAAAATCACCACTCCTGATCAATTTGTAAGTGGATCGATGGTGGAGTGGAAATAAGAGGGTTGTGTAAGTCTGGTTGCCTGTACGTTCAGCTTGACGCAAGTATAGATAAAATGGTGATTCTGTGTTTTTCGGTTTGGTAGCACTGCATGACCATTATTAGAAATTGAGCCTCATGTGTTATGTGATTGAGGTACTTAATTGAAAATTCAGGCATTCGGACAGGAATATAAGAAAAAACCTTTTCGGGTAAGCCTTTAACGCTGTGAGCAGATTTACACTCGATTTATTGTTGCCAACGTTAAAGACTAATACAAAGATATTACTTGCTGATCAGCTGTTAACATCAGTAGATATCAAAACGTGATGGATACTCGTGAAAAAGATTAACACAAATGATCATACACATGTTTCTCTTGGACGCCATATCGACCCCTGCAAGGAAGACTATTGTAACTCAGTTTTGGTTGAACTGAGATACGGGCATTAGAAGATTTTTTGATAAATTTCGTTGTCAGAAAAATGACGATCTCATCAAAAATATGTTGCAGATTGCAGTAATTCTTGTATATAGAAGGTTATAAATGGTATTACAATACAAACCTAGCGAAAATGACAATTTTTTTAATAAAGTTTGTTAACTTACTATAGTTTTCGTTGGATCAATTAAAGAAAAACGGACACTTGCTCTTTAATGCGAATCTGAGTCACTCAAATTATATTCATCATCGTGCTCTCCACTATCATCGTTCTCAACTTCTGGTATTTTCAGCACTGTTAATATCATGTCTCTTTGTATTTTTTTATCCTCCTAAGCTTTTAGAGAAAAATGAAAAGCAGGTAAGCCTCAGAAATGCTAGGAAGACTGTTAGCTTTTGATTTACAAAGGTCTGATAGACCATTTAAATCTACTGGAAGCAAGCTTGTTTACAGTAAAGGTAGTTCCTGAAGCGTATTGTTTTGCGGTCTCATTCTGTAATAATCAATGTTACTATCGTGAGATCATCAGTATAGTCCCATTTATATTTAATAATAATAATAATAATAATGTCTTTATTAATCCCTCCACACTGCGAGGCGAAGTTTAGCCAGCTGGCTACTCTACCACTTAACCTCACAGAGCAAGAACACACACCAAAGGAAATGAATAGCAATCGACTAAATAATATATACAATAATTAAGCTTAAATAGATTAATCTTAATAATAAACAAAAAAAAACATTAAAGACAAAAAAATAAAAATATCAGCCAGCTTGGCTAGCAGACCCCAGAAGGTGGTTCTTAATGGCTCTCTTGAATGCAAGTATTCCCATCTTTTTGTAATTGTCATTAAGACTATTATACACCTTGACAGCGTTGTAGGTGAAGCTACGATGGAAAATGTTGCTCCTATAACTAGGTATATGAAAGTCAGAGTTATGTCTCAGATTCCTGTAATTGAGATCCCCACGTGGTACCAGCCTGTTTAGTAGATAAGTAGGTAGCCTATTGATTTTTATTCGTTGTACTAGAATTAGCAAGTTATATGTGAAAATCTGGTCAACTCTCAACCATCTAAGCTCATTGATCTTAGACACATGGCTAAACTTTCGCAGACCACAAGCGAACCTACAGCAGCTATTTTGAATTTTTTGTACTCGACATCTAGTCACGTAATCAAGACAAGGAAAGTAAACAGCAATTGCATAATTTATTAACGATAGAACCAGAGTCTCAGCTAGTTTTTTGCGAGTCTTGAAATTCAGAATATGCCGATTGGTGTATAATAACTTCAAACGCATGTATGTTAAGCGAGATAAATGCGTAACATGTTGTTTAAACCTCAAATCTGAATCCATGGTGATCCCTAAATTCTTCGCATGGTCTACTATAGGAATATGGGTTTCGTTAAGATTAGGAACAATTGTCCCATCTAACCGTTGTACTAACTGTTTTGGGCCAAATAGCATGTTGGAACATTTTGAAGCATTGATCTTTAGACAATGTCTTCAATGTTAACTAGATCCAAGTTCAATTTATATGATGCTTCATGCATGTCCGAAGAATCAAAAGACAGAGTTAGCTGCGTGTCATCTGCATACGTTTGAATATTACAGTGCTGAAGGCAAGTATGTAGATCAAAGGTATAAACTAAATAGAGTAATGGTCCCAACACAGAGCCTTGAGGTACGCCAGATGCCACACTCTTTGCCGAAGAAACTCCCTTACGTGTTTTCACCTTCTGGGTACGATTGCGCAAATACGAATCGAAGAAACGTAGTGGCTTGTCAGAGAGACCATAAAATTTGAGCTTACTCAAGAGAATACCATGATGTACCATATCAAAAGCCTTAGAGAAGTCTAGCAGAATCAGAGCTGTTCCTATCTGATCATCTACATTTTTGATGATATGATCCGTAATATTTAATAAAGCGGTTGTTGTGCTATGCCCTGTACGGAAACCAGACTGATATTGAGGAATCATATTGTTTTTTTCAAAATAGTGGGCCAGCTGTATGTAGACAATTTTCTCTAAAACCTTCGACAAAAAGCACAACATGCTGATGAGCCGTAGGTGAGAATACTCAGAGGGGCTGTTTATCTTCGCCAAAGGCAAAACGATAGCTTCCTTCCAGCAGCTTGGGAAAATCCCTGTCTCTAAGGACACATTCATATTTCACATATTTCATTTCAGGAGGCACTTATCTTATTTATTTTCAACTTTTATCCACAATCGTCTTTGTCCCAATTTCCCGATTTTACCTTTTATTTAAAATTAATGGATCCACGACCAACCGCAGACAGGGCTCTTAAGCCCTAATCAGTACGATATAGGTCTGTATCAGGTCCAGACTTGGAGATGAAAGAATGAAAAGGAAACGTGTGAGTGTCGTCTTAGCAAAGCCGAGGACTGTAGTAGTTGAATTCTCTGTTAACCTTTTTTAATTCACAGTGTGTGTGTTGTGTTGAAAGAGTTCATCACTTTTTATGAACCAAACTTGCCTGAATTTAACGGTTCAGAAACTGCAGTTAGCTTCTTTGAATCTGCCAGAATTGTTTTGGTTCTTCAATTTATTTTAGTTCGCTTTGAAAACTGCTCCTTTCATACAGCTAATACTTGAAACGTTTTCGCTATTAATTACTGTAAACTTAAATTATGCCGCGAAAATCATAGTAAGTCAGACAGTTAGTAGGTCTAACCGTAAGTTAGCCTTTCCGTGATTTTTTGCATCGAAGACTAAAGTAACTCAATTTGATAACCCGATAAAGTCTATCGATATAGTAAGTCAAAAGCAAAGATTTTTGAGCTACTTATAGTCTTCGTTGCAGTGGTCGATATGATTTCGCTGGAAAAAAAGAAAACAGTTTCTGAAATGCTCGTTTGGGGCTTTTGTACACTAGCGTACCTAAACTTATTTGTCTGATTAGCTCTGTCGGTAGGGCGCCTACTTACTTACTATAACATTATTTGAATATATATCTATGTTCGACACATCGACAGGTACTCTCTGGAATTCCTTTCTTTATTTTTCAGCGTGCTTTTTTCCCTAGTATCAGGGCAAGTATCCTTTCTTTTATCAGACTGCTTAAGAAGGAGGGTTATGTTTTTCGCGCGTGCATGGCTATCACTGTGGTCAGAGGATTCTATTACACGGGCTACAGTCCAAACGGCTTGATGGATTTTGACATATGAGATGTTGTTGGATTTGTCCTAGCAGTGCAGAATTTTATAAGATCAAAATAATGATTATTACTCCAAAATTTCAACACAGCTTACAGTTTAAATAGCTGGGTGGATTTTGAAATACGAAATGTCTCTATATTTTTCTTGAAATACGAGTAACGTAGATTATATTCAAATTTTATAAAAACGAAATAACGGATTTGTAACAAAAATTTCTACTTCACGGGCTACAGCTCAATTAGCTTACTGACCTTCCTAAGCGCCCGGTGAGGCAGTGTTCAGTGTCCCGTTCGATAATACCCGACTCGAAATGTGTATTGCACAAAATTTTGCCATACAACATGTATTTACCGTTGTCAGTGACACTGGATATATTAAGATTTTATAAAATATCAAAATGGCGAATTTTCAAAGCTCGTACGGGCTACAGTTCAAAAGGGTTGATGGATTTTGTCATTTGATAGTACAACTAAAGCTTTATCATTTTCGGTTTTATGTAGATATACTTATTTGCTAATTTCCATCCTGAAAGGTCAATACTGTTTTTTCAAACACCCTGTATATGTTAAACAATGGGTAATTAATCGGGTCAATTTGTTTATCGGATAGATAACGGGTACCTTTATTCTATCTATTATTAATGAGCCTATCACCAGTTAATATTCTGAATTTTAGAACGTTTGTAGCGTATTTTGAAATCTATAAGTTAAAGCGGGTTTTCCGTGGCGGTTACCGCTGTTAACCATGGCCATCTTCAGTTCACAAGCCGAAGCATTCATCTCGATTTGTCTACTATACCAAAAATGGAGATAAAGTTGAGACGAGTTAAATCCTCTGAAGGAAAAATTAGTTACGAACATGAACAAAAGAAAAATTAAACCGATCAAGTCAGTAAAACAGACCCACGCAAATAGACCATAGACATTATT